TAGTAAAAGAGATGTGTATTTCAAAATTTATATAAATATGACAACACCGAAAAATAAGAAGTCAGAAATATAACTAAAAATGAATTTTAAAATAATTATTTACTCTGCAGCAGAGGACGTAAAATAGCATCGCGGTAGGTACAAAAAACTTATTGGAAAATTTTTTAGAAGCCTCTAAAATCAAATTAGCGCATGTCTAGGTAAACAGTTCGCTAATAATAGAATGTAAATTAAGAAACTTTTAGAAAAATTTTTTCTAGATAATCTGTTTCAACAGCAAATTTTATTTCGAACAATTCAAATGATTTTAACGCGCAGTATAGGATTCAAAAAATAAATTCTAATGAAATGATGAATCGGTAGTAATAGGGTAATCCAAGAACTGATCCCGCAAAGACATTTTCTCCATGCAAGGGATCAAATTCCAGACAAAAGCGGAATGAAATGCAAGGGGGCGTTGTTTTGTCAAGTTGAAATCTGTCTCCATTTCAAGTAGATTTGAAACCCCACAAGGCCAAATATCATGTTTGTTATCTCCGTACATCTATATTAAACATTGCGTAATTATTGTCGCTGTTTAGTGTATTGATTTAAATTGATTAATCGTTATTTCAACGAGAGAGAAATGACATAGAAATGCTTTTTCTCGTTATCGATTGCCAGTGGGCAGATTTTTAAGACATTTGCATAAGGTGTGGACTGTCAATCAGTTTTAACAAAACTAGGAAAAATCTGTCAGTATATGAAATATGAATATAGTATAGGCATGCTATGATAAAACAAGATTCTGTTTTCTTAAGACTATGTTTTGTCTAGTTTAGGTTGGGATAAGTTGAAAGGTGGGTAACAACCAAGCCATAACTCAACCCAGCTCATTCTAATCTAATCGGTGGGAAAATAATCAGTCAATCTTTCAACCAGATAATAGGAATTGCAAATTTCACAGGGATTCATTTTAGACATTTTATGATATCTCTAATGATTGTAACTGATAAATTTCTTGTTAAAAAGATCATATTTTTAAATAATTTTCGAACCAATATAAACGGATATTAGTGGCCGCAATACATCCCAGTAGCATTGCCTACAGGAATAGATTAGAGCTTGAGATAGTGTCAAACTAATAAACAAGAACTGACATATAAATTATATGGAATGATAATCCAACTACCTTATGGAATCGAATTAACGCTATACATTAATTTCGATTACAAAATGCTATAAGCATTTGGATAGATGTAATCTCCCGGAAATACGCGAGCATCTGAGGTTTGTGTGCGGGAAATATTTTTGATTTTTCATTTTTGCAGCTTCGAGGCAGATTTAAAAATCCGAGACAAGTCATCAAACTAAATATTGCAAACAAAGATTCGTTTGTAGGTCTGTTTGATTTGAACTCAAGTATGAGCTAGAGGTAGACCCTACTTTTCAAAATTTCAGATTTTCGTGAGATAAAAAAAATAATTTTACTCTAGCATGTTACAAAATTAGCTCATATTGATTTATAATGATTGCATAAATATTATAAAAATAAACAGATGTGAAATTGTAACAATGAATACAATTCAATCAAGAAGTAAAATAGGTACATGACATTCAAGGTAAAAAGAAATAATGGCAAATATATAATGAGGTGAACACCCACATTCAGTCGAGGTTAGACAGCAGATTGCGTGTTTATTTCTCATGCGCATAAAGTGAAACAAGTTAAAAAACAACAACAGAAAACTCTGTTTGAAAATTATATTAAATACGTCAAATCGACTTGGTATCGTATTACATACCCATAAGTGAACAGTAATAACGGAACTGGTTAGCACCACTAATCCAAAATTGCCAAGAGGCTTGAAAACTCGAAAATGAATATATAGTGTTCATCTTGCATAGTAAACAAATTTTGTTTGTTGCGAGCCGCATGGACGTCACTACTTCAGAAAGTGTCAATACTGGAATGACGGTGGATATATCGACCTATGGCAATTTGAATGACCCTTTCACACAAGGCTATTGGCTTCTATATGGACAGTGGGTACGAGCATTTTGAGGTAGTATATTTGGACGTAAATATAAGGGAGAAAGTTCTTACACTTTTCCCAAATAAAACCAAGTCTTGAAACTAAAAGTTAATAACTTGATGTAGTGTAAGTTGATGATAAAACACCATATCGAATCAAATATTTGCTAATATCTGTGAAAACTTGTGTGATTCATTTTAACTAAGTTGATAAATCCTAATTGAATCTTACCAAAAATCCGCAGTTACGTTTTATTGAACGAGTCATATATATATAACTTAATATATCTTCACCACTTTGTGGTAATTAGAATTTTTCCGTATACGAACATGGATTACTTAATGTAATGAGAATTTTGTATATTATCACTATATACAGACAGATTTATGAAAACTTAATTCCGAGTGCACTTATGATGTCGTGTGATAACAATTATGTATAGAACGATTAGAAAGTAGAAAATTTGATAAATGAAATTACTGAAAATATTGGGAGATGAGAAAGAATGCTTGTAACCCTATTTTTGTATCAGGCGGGTCATCTCCATTTTAAAACAATTTCATTGGGAATTGACTCCAAGTGGTTCTGGTCACAATACAAGTAAAGACTTTTGTACTGTTTTATGGTAGTTCAAATTCTAATTTCCAAACTGACATAGCCAGGACAACAAAATAATATTTACTTCAAAGTTATATGCGGAAACTAACGTAAGAGATATTTATCGTGATGGAAATCAAAATTGACTATGAATTTTGTGAAAGCGATACTAAAATGTAGTCAAGAATTATGACTAAATATTTCTTGGAGAATATTGAAAATATTATCCTTGTTTTTCGAGCATACTACGAAGTGCTATATCTACTGTGATGAAAATGTTTGCTCATAAATATTTAGTCGGGAAAGGGTTATTCGTGGACGTCGGTTCTGTGAAGTATATTTTGTGATTTGGGTTATGGTAGTGAGGAGAAATTAATTGTGGGGGAAACTCGACGCCTAGGTAAACTAGACTGGTATACCGGCGAGAAGCGTAGTTTCGATTCGTTCGTCCGCTGTAATCCGAAAATCACTCACGTGATCTCTGATCGTGAGAGAATCCGGTAAAGCTGTGACGTTACGTTACATGGAGAGTGAGGAAATGCACGATGCTGTTCTAAACGGACGAAAAGAAGACAATTTTAGCGTAGAAAACAGAAAAAGGCCTCGAGCGACGGTCAGTAAGTACATTCGTGCGTTCACTATATATATGAGCATAAGAGCAAGGTCCAAGTACCAAACGGCTCAGGTTACAGTAGTGAGCGGGGTGGTTAGTTACGGAATTGTAGTTCGTTTCCACAGCGCAATGTATTTTGCAAGATTTTCCAACCTTTGCACCGATAAAAATCGCCTTCTCCACAAGAACACTAGATTGTAGATTGGCTCGAATAATAATTAGAGGATATCATTTTATTAAACGACAGCATTCTTTGTAAATTTGTTCAGTAAACGTAATTGCTTCACGAATGAAGAATCATGGTACTGGAAAGCTATATACTTCCAAGCGTTCTAGAAAGAATGTATTTACTTGAATGAAGAAACCAAAACCGTCCACGTATCAAATTAATTAACGCTAGAAAGGACTGTCGATATGAACTAATGTAAAATATATAAACGATGTAAAAATGGAAGCCAGAACCTTCTTCAAATGAAATAATATAAGCTATAGACCGTGTGATAACAACTTGCCGCAAATAATTATTTCGCGAGACAGCGCGTGAGAAATGATATTGACAACTTCGAGGTCATTACGTACGTCAACAGACTAATACAAAAGATAATATAAGTCGTGTTTTGATCTATTGTCGCGACAATAAAAAATTAAAAATACGTGTAATCTTGTCAACATCTAGGGCAATCTAGATTACACGCTCAAAAAATTCACGACAAAATTGTGCCGGAGGGTGATACGCCTGGGGTGGTGACGTATACATAAGTAAACTTATATTTCTTAGAACCATATGCAAAATTTAAACTCGTCTATAGAATTTGATTTAGAACTGTTGCACAATAGTTTTTGTTTTTCGAATTAGTGAACGGGAGACGGTAACAGATTATAATGGATTTGTTTGTGGTAGGTAACGTTTAAGACAGGATTAGTTATCGCTGCCACAGACTAAGATATCATAAATTAGACGAACTGTCGTATTTGGGATTCTAAATTAAAAACAAATGTCAAAAACTGAGACTGTTTTTAATTTATTGAAGTCATTGAAAGTTAAGAAAAATGTTATTTTTTTGCAGTATCATTTATATTTTACTCGTTACAAAATGATAGTTAGGGTGTTATTTTGTAACGGCGTTATTGAGCATGGCTGGCACATATTTCTTCATGATAAAGTAACTTTTGTATTCTGTAGGCATATTAGTATATATAGATCTTCAAATCAAATCTTCAACGCCAAAGAAATATAGTAAGAAGCAAGTATTGCTGCAATAACATGTTGAAAATGTCGACATGTAATAAAAGGATTAATTAAAAAGAGATTTTGTAATTAACTTCGTCCTAATCCGAAATTTTTAATAAATAAAAATAGTGTTTCTAATAATTTAAAATCATTCATTTAAGATTTGAATACAATAAATAATGAAATTGCCTTCGACAAAATTCAAAATATTCTTCAGAGGCATAAAGTCGACGTGCCGACGGCGGATACAACTTCGCTTTTTCAGGCCACATGGAAATATCTTCCATTCTCAAAATCGCTAGCAATAGTCATAGAGCACGAGGTTGTGAACGCGAGGTAATTCAGGAAATGCTGTACCTCATAGAATTGTAAATTTAGTTTAGCATACAAATATTTCATTCATCTTGTATGGTAGGATGTGGTACTATTGAATGCAATTGAGTTAAAATTGGTTGAATATGGCCATACATATTTTTAGTTTTTATTAAAAATTCTTCCACTGACCGTGTGTAATATTTTCTAGACATGCGTACATGTAAACATAATTTCTATTTACTATTTAGCTCTTGAATAACTCAAATAAAAAGTAAAACACTTTATAAAATGAATTACTCACTTCTTATTCTACTTATTGGATTGGTCTTTCACTGTGGAGAAGCAAGCAAAAAGAAATCAATAGTGTCGGGTACACCATGGCCAGGTACGGTTTCATAATTTTTTTTATGTATTCTGCTTTGTGTGATAGGTATCGTATAATGCGGTAGTAAATATGGTAAGGTCTGATGTTTTTTATGGCATATCTCTAGCATATTAATCTGTTGAACGTGAGGAAATTTAACAAGAAATAAACATAAAGAAGCATCGGAAGTGCAAATTAGAAAGGTCGAAAGATGATATACAAAACTAAAAATAGTGTTCATCGTCATCGTACGTGTTCGGCTTTAATAATCCTAAAAATGTTTACACGTTTCTCCTACTAAGAAAATGCGCTGTTGATTCGGATCATCCTATGACAGGACTCAAACGTAACGCGGAAATTCACTTGTTACTGATGTTACATTTGAAATATAAAGAAATGCTTTGACGTGTGCTAAGGTTTTTTTTGTCGACTTGGTAATTTTGCAACTATATAAGTGTTAGATATATATCGCCGTTTAAAAGGATTTATAGTTTAATATGAAACCACCACATTATTTTGATTGAAAATATTAAGACTTTGAACGCATTCAAATGAAGGAGAGTACTCAACTATAATTTCAGACGTTGGTATGCAGTACATAGACAAAAACTTGAGAAAAACAATCGCTTTTTTGTTGTTACATGTTCATGAAATTGCCCAAAATCCTGGTAGAAAAATAAGAAAATTCTCAATGATAGAGATATTCCCGATTTGGAACCAAATTTGTAATACATAGGGTAGGGTCGACTTGTGTCGAATGCTAATCTAGCTATCTAGTCCACCACAGGTCTCGCGGGTGGATCACATCATCTCGATTTCGTCTGTGTATAAGCCAGTCGTTTACGTCTCCTGTTTGTGTTACCTGTGACATAGCTAAATGACTAATTTCCCTAAAGGTTAAACATTTCCTAAGTTCGCTTACGGTCGTCTGATGTATCCAAATTTAAAATTTCCGTTTGATTTTTTAGGTTTCCCGTTCAACCGGCCTCCTATGGGATATTTCTCGAAATCCCCTGTGGAACCTGACGAATATTATGAAGACTATGACTTGGTCGAGGAAAACGACCTCGATGAGGTAAGAGTAAGATGATCACTAGAGTAAACATTCTGAAATCGAATTTCAGACTTGTAAGACTGGGTCACTATGTCACTGAACAAGTTCAGGGATGGCTTCAGTATGAATATTTATTCCAAGTTATACACTAGTATCAAAAAAGTATTTATTTAGATGCGTTTTTCCATTCTTGTGGCTATTTCAAGTTTGAAATTTTCCGACTTGTTCATGCTTAAAAGTCTTATATAGGATTTATATATGCATTTCTATCATTCCAACGTCGGACGATAAGTCATTTTGAGCGTGAATGGACAATTATTATGGCACAATGATCAAGGAAGTGAAAAATCATCCCCGTGAAAACAAAAATATCCCGTTCTTATTTTGCCTTACTTAAATATTCCTAAATTTTATAATGTACACCTGTAACAGGTCACGTTTCGGAAATGTTGTTACGTAGTCCAAAATAAATTGAAATAAGCACTACCAGATGGATTTAAAACTCATATAAAAGTGACTGATTCAAACATAGAGAAAGTATTTTATACAGGATTTTATACACCTTCATGGGGTGCGCCCTATCGTTTGAGACCACAGTTCTAAAAAGAACATACGGTAACTATCGTGCAAAGCGGCCTAAAACGTTGGGGGATCTTTATACACGAACGGAAGGGGAGGGGGTACAATTTGGGGCACCGTGTACAACTCAATTTTCCTCGCAATGGAAAAAGATTTTCCGTGTTTATCAACGAGATTTGATTATTTTAAAGCAAAACTAATCGAAAAAATAATTCTGTAATATCTTCTGAAATTTGGATATAGATGTTTCCAAACTTGCCACCTCCAGTTCAACAGATCAAAAAAAAATAATTGGTGTGAAATATTGTGTAGATATAATCAACATTTTTGTCTGTTACAGAATGAAAAATCTACCACGAAGCCAGATTACAAGAAGTCCAATGCTTTTCATGCCGGAATAGCCAGTGCGATTCACGACTTTACATTCGACTTGTACAAGGGGATGGTTCGAAACAAAAGCGTGGAAGACAATCTCGTTTTTTCTCCACTCTCTGTCTACACCGCATTGTGCATGTTAACGCTAGGTACGGCAGTGACATTCATCAATTACACCGTGGTCTATCCTAACTGTTTGTATATTTTTGAGCTAACATAAATTCTCTGCTAATCGCGTGAGTTGGTAATCTCGGATTAGGTATTTCTGGTTACAGACGATGGCACGAACGGGAATAAAAACATTTAAAATTTGATAAGGTTCTACCATAGGCTCCTATACTGCATTACGTGACCATGTAATTTTTATCGTCTTTTTCCTGCGTTCGTATCCTGAGCAGATATTGGTAGACCAACATCTGAAGCAATTTACATTAACAATATATGATTTGTCTAAAATGGTATAGGATATCTATACACTGTTCTTAAACTTTATCGAAATATATTTTATAAGCAAGAATTTTGTTTGTCACCAATTTCCATTTTGAAGTTTTCGGATTATATCCCTAGCCACACCACAAAGATTTGACGAGAAGAAAATTTACAACAGAACCTAACCAAGATAGATGGCAATCTTACACCAAAACGTCAAATTAAAATTATGAAAACATCATTTGTATATCTCATACAGTAGACTAAACAAACTTTATAAAACTCCCTTTTGAAAAATATTTTTCAAATTATTTTCTGTATTTTCAGGACTCGGAGGCAAGTCACACTCACAAGCAATGGAAGTACTTCACGGGGACGCTTTCCCAGATGTTCACAATGCAATGTCGGAATTATCTGATGCAATTTTTGACAATTCAAGATCGGGTAGTGTCACGCTTACCAAAGCAAACAGAATATTTATTGACCGATCTGTGAGACTCCTCAAAGAATTCAAATCTAGTATGAGAAAGTAAGTAGCTGTTTTGAAATAACACAATTTTTGAAACAATTCCAAAATAGCTGACAGAAGTTTACTAGGTTCCTTTTAACTTTGAGTCAATGACATGCGCATTAAGGGCTTCAATATTCTTATGATCTTTCTTCCAACATCTAACGTTGATTACTGGTACTTCACCTTTAGCAAATACTTATCTAAAACACTGAACAAAAAAATTAGAAATAACCCTTTTATAATTTTTATGTTGAAAAGGGCAATTTCTGTTCTTTTCAATTTCTCAGATAAAAATTACAGGGTGAAATGAAATTCGGTATTATCTTTTTTCCTAAATGAAAGCTAAATTGACAAATATCAGTCAAGTAATTTCACCGAGTGCAAGCTAACTGTATTACATATATGCTAGTTGCCGGGAACAACTTTTCCAAATGATAATATATGTACCATAATCATCAAATAGTGGGGGGAGGTGACCATATTAAATTATTTAGAATAGATTTTCCGAAACTATTTTAGTGCAGAAACAATGAATAATCACAAATTTGCATTGTTTCCAATCTAAACCAATATGCCTGACATTATTTTCGAAACTCAAAAAAAAACTATTGAGTTTCATGATTAAAAGTGGATGGAAGTGTTTATATAGTAAATAAATAGTAGGGAAAGTAAAATTAACATAAGGTAATTAGTTTGTGACAAACCTACGCGAATGATAGACAAAAAATTTGGTCGGAGATTAAGTCATAAAAAGAGCTTATCGTTAGGTTACAAGTTGTAAACAAGCTTCAAAATGAGTTGAGCTCCAACTTATCCAATTTTCCAAGATATATCGCATACTCTTTCCCAATAGCGTGTTCCAGTTTCGAGAAATATGAAACCAGATTATAGAGATTGTATCTTACTCATATACAACGAACTCTTTGTCAAGATAAAGTTGTTAAATTATCAAAAAATCACATGATGGTTATGCAAATTTCAAAGCCTTAACAATAAATACAACGTATTTGATAAGCCTAAAATACGTCTACTAAAAACGTGTACCAATCTTCATAAATTGCCGATAGAAAATTCCAAGATTTAGCTCAGAGGAACAAATATATCCGCAAACTCAAATAGCATCAAATATGTGGTATAAAGTAGACTACATACTAATAAACTTGAAACCGCCCTTTGTAAATATTATTCTACATAAAATGCACGCAGCAGTGATAGTTTGCCCAATGGGAGTTTCATGTTGTTAAAACATTTTTTCACTATTTTGTCATAAACTACTACACAAATCGCTTTAAATTTTCAGTAGTTATTAGATGGAAGTGTTTTTTAAAAAGCTGTCACTTTGATATTTTTCAAATTTTTCTGGTCTTCTTTGGAATTTGTAACTTTACCTAACAGGTGGTGTTTTGATGAAAATAAACGATACCAAAGAGAATTTTAGTTTTGTGGGTTCAGGGTATAATCAGCATAATTATAAACTACTCAAAAACCTAAATCTCCTTCAAGACAACAAATCATAAATATAGTAGGTAAAAAAAAATAGCAGGTATCTCAATTTTGCCCAATTTGATTTTCTTTTTAAAGTTATCATTTGTATTATTATTCACAGGGACTACCACGTCAGCGCAAAGAAAGTCAACTTCATGAATGCTCCCGACTTAAACCGAAGAAGAATCAACCAATTCGTACAAAGACATACGGAACGAAAAATCAAGGACCTTGCACCAAGAGGATCGATTTCATCCGACACAAGATTGTTTATTGCAAACGCTATGTACATGAAGGTGAGTAAAAAAATTCAAAATACGCACATTCTTTACTACTGACACTTCGCAATCAATTGCACTTTGTGGGTATCGGTGACTACAACCGTCTAGGCGCGAATTAATCGGTTCCGAACACTTTTCTTGCATTAAAAATGTCAAATGTGTACGAGTGCTGATGATGAGCATAGACAAGCAATAAATACAATCAAAATTGTCATTCATGAATGAAATTATAGTTTATGATATTATAACTATAAAAATGTAACACTTTCATCGCTGACGAAAGAAGATTTTAGAAAAATACTCATTTTAATCCGGAAAATGCTATAAACTGTGAGTAATTTTGGCCACGAGAAAAATTTGGGAAAAAAGCAAGCTTTGAAAAAATCAAAATAACTGTGGAACAATTTCACAATAAGTAAACAATGTTTGTTGTAAATGTCATGAAGTTGTAAACCTTTTTGAAGAAGAAGCGTTTTTCATAAATTGATGGACTAAGTGTTTACATGATGTGGTTTTAAATTCAAATGTTACCAAAAGACACCCACACAGTAAGAAGTTGGGTCACTTGTTGTTTACCGAGGATTTATTCTGCGAAAAAATGGAGAAAAAATGCGATATGTTTTTCTACAACACGATTCAAGCAAAACAATGCATTTTTGATTCCAAAGCCAAATGGCTTTTTCATTAATCAGCCTTTCTGGGTGTCATTCAAAATAGAGCAATATCAAATCGTTGTTTGGCCATGCTAACCATTATGTTTCGTCACATTGTTGCCAACGGATTAAAAACATTATTTTCTGAAAATACATTAAACGTTTTGCGGAAACGGCGGGGTGTTTATTCGTCTACGAAAAACGATGTTACAAAACTTAACATAATAATTTTGGGTTGACTTTCCAAATTTCACAGAAAAATGTCTTTCTGGCCCAATTTCAAACAAATCGCTTGCGTCAAAATATTATCTAGCAAAGGTGTCAAATGAATCATTAGTTTAATTGGAATAAGTGACAGCATACAGACAGATTGATGTACCTGCTCAAATATCTAAAAAACGTAAAGATGAATTTAACTGTACAAAATCTGACGCAAAGAGAATGGCAAGAGATATTCCAATCCCCACCCCATCAGCGGAGATGATTATTAGCGCGCTCTCCACCAAACTTGGTTAATATCTGTGATTTTTCACGAGCATCTTTTACAAAAATGATTAGTCACTTATGGTCTCGAACCCCACATACTAGAGTTTCGACTTTCGATATGAATAACGCCAAATTAATTCAAAACTGTCGCTTTCAAAGAAGTTTACAAATAACAATGAGGGTTAAAGAGTTCTTGTTTATTATATATATTTGTGTAAATTGTAATAACAGGAGAAATGGTCATTTTTCGACGAGTTAGGATGTCTCGCATATAAGTCCCAGTAATACATCAGAATGAAAGTTCTGAACATCTAAACTTTGTTTTTTTCTGAATAATTTATTTGCAATGACCTACTTTGCAATATTTGATGCTGATTTCATCCTTTACAGGCTTCTTGGGAAACACGATTCACGTTTACGGACAAAGGAAGATTTACCGTCAATCCGAGTGAGAAAATCATTGTAGACATGATGCAAAGTTCCAGTGGAAGCTGTTATACCACACTTAGCAATGAATTGAACGCAGAAGTGATCAGGATTCTTATGAAAGGTGGGCATTGTAACAGATTTACATGAGTTGAGAATATTAGGAATTAGCTGATGCCGGGATTTCTTACACTATTTTGAGATCCATTTTTCTACAACCTTGCTTGTGTTATATACTTTAAGCTGTTTATCAGAATCCATCCTTTGCATGAAATTTAAAATATGGGATTCCCGACATTCCACTGTCTTTTTTACTGTACGAAAATAGATCATCACGCACTGCCGTTGTTTATTTCTTTCGTATATCTTTAGGAACCTATAGTAGCAAAATCAGGTACCGATAAAATTTTTTGACAAAGCGAAAATTCTTAGTAACAAATTTCTTTTTTTCATTTTTCAGGTGACGTCAGCTTCATAGCCATCGTGCCTTCCACTCCAGGAGATTTCTCTCTACTAGAAGATGGGAGAGGAAAAGGACGAACACGCCGAGCATTGGAAGCCTTATACGAACCCGGGTTTTCAGTGTGGCCACAGTTATGCCGTATTACAATGCCAAAATTCAAGATCGACTTCAAAGCAGACGACTTGATAGACGTTTTGAAAGACATGGGAATGACGGATATCTTTGACCCAACGGAGGCAGATCTTAGCAAAATGACACCGAGTAGAGAGCCATTGTACGTGAGCGATGTGCGTCATAAAGCTACCATTGACGTCAACGAAAATGGTCTCGAAGCAGCAGCGGCTACAGGAATTGGGGTTGCGGCGCGTATGATGCCACAACCTGTCACGATAGATCGACCATTTTTATTTATGGTACGAGACGAGAAAACTGGAGCTACAATATTCACCGGAAAAGTCGTTCGGCCAAAATATGAATAAAAATCGCATTTCGAATCAAAATCGAAAACTTGACGCGAGAATAGTAGCCGATAAGAAAGAGACACAATGAGTCCTGCTACATTGGAGAGACAAAACACTCAATTTTGGCGGCTATAAAACTGGACAGTGCTTGAGACAGCCTTTTTATCATCAATGCATTTTGCTGAGAACATGCTTGCATTTCTATAATTACGATTACAAAAAGTAAAAGCTGGACAGGTATACAACACCATAGATATCAAAGCATAGTGTCGTATTTTGGTATTTTTATATTTTTAACTTATTAATTGTTATATAAATTTTTTAATTAGTTTGAAGGTCTGCTACAATTAAGTTATACATTTTATTTGTTTCTTGTTTGGTAAATACCAACTTGACCATCTATATAGGAAACGTTATTGACAAATTAACAGTCCATCGGAGACTACGCTGCCAATGGTTTACACTCGATTTTGTAAAGCTTGAATAAAGGCAATGTGAGACGTTTTTCATTTCAGGATATTTTATTGGATCAAAACAGACGTTTTATGCTTCATTTTATATTTATGCGTATTTTTCTTTTTATACAAATATTAAATAAAACATCTTTGTGATAATATTTGTTAAGATAAGTTCGTCACTCGGTTTAATGAGGTTACAAACTACGTGAGTGTTAAACCGAAAAACATGACACAAAGACTTACAGAATAAGCAGGGTTGACTTGAGCGTTGGGATATGATTTACGCTTTTCATGGTACCAATTCGTCATATACCCATTACGACTACAATGCCTGCATTTAGTGCGAAAATAGGATATTCGTATGTAGAGGAGAGTCACACGCTTTCTCACACTTAAGCAACTATGGAAAAACTATCTAGTAATGCAAGAAATATGACAATTCACGCGGTGGTGAAACTGAAATTATGGAATTTGTTCTATTCAAGAGAACATGTTGGTCTAGTCTAGAGAGAGAGGGCGAACTACTGACCCGCGTGTCATAAAGTAATACCTCACGAGCTTTCAGTGACCAGCGAAGTGACGATTTCAATAAAAAAACATACTGAAATTTTAATGATAAAAACTGATTATAAAATCAATCTAACAATACGTGAACCACCGGTACTATAGCATACCAGTATGCTGTAACTAGCAACAATGCTGTTACAACGTTTTCGACATAACAAGATACTATATTGGTTTATTTCTCGCAACTTGTCATCTTACAGTGGTTCCCACTCTGAGGTTCATAAACCAAGGGGATATATCGTAAGATAACTAGGGATGGCGGAATCGAGACCGGATTCGATTCGTCGCGGAATCGACTAGAATCGATTCCGATGCATTGGAATCGATTCTCGAGGTTAAAACTTGGATTGCAAACAATGTGTAAGTTTTGTGGCAATTCCTTCACATATATGTGTAGCTTTACTGCTATGTTGAATTGCTACGACGGCGCAAACATCACTATATGTATATATATATTTCGTTAGAAGGTATTTACGTTTAATTATTTCTAAAATCTCTGTGTTATACTTATAGTTATACTTAGCATTCTTAAAGAGAACTAGATTCTACCAACCAAGAATAAAGGGACGTGGGGAAACCGCTACAGCCAAGTTTCTTAATGTTGCAAACTTCGATTAAATACCCATGACTCACTGTCTTGTTTTCCACAATAAAAATGCTATTCTCGACTCTTTCGTTAAAAAAGGTACGCCATCGGTGGTATAAAAAAAGTGTTTGGACTCGAGTAAGCAATTCATTATTGAATACGTAATCGTACAACAGAAGTGTTATCAACCTATAGAAGCCGATCAAGTAACATTGGTCTTCATCGGCATTGACAAATTTGGTTTTTTAATTGCTCTATAGCGCCATTCTGTGACACGCCGAACAAACAGCTTCGCCTTGAACATTTCGCCAAGCAAAAAGCGTTACATTTTCTCCTAGCAATATCACAACAAAATTTAATATTACATTAGACATAGAATAGACGAAAAATAGTTGATAGAGAATGGTCAGTATGTCAGTCAGGGTCAGCACCGCTCGTATGCACAAACAGCTGACTCGAATTATTGTACTAGTAGATAAATTGGATTTGATATGTTATGGGTTGGAATAAGTATTAACTTCAAAACATGGTTAGCGCAATATAGATAAACTCTTGTTTCACAGATCAGCACCACATGTCTGGAATAGAATGAAGTGTGAATTCATTTTGATTCATATCAATTTTGCTCGCTCCCGTAGTATGTGCACCATTACGATGGCGGACACCGGAACGTAGCATGTGTACCAGGTCATGGTTAGGCCATAATTTTATTCTAATTTTCTTTATTTTAGTTCTATTACGAGTTTGGGGACTAGCCGAATGACTCCCGTAGTAATTGTACCTAAAATTATGGCCTAACCCTAACCAGGTACACATTCTACGTTCCGGTGTCCGCCATCTTGGTGTGGAGTACCAAATTCTGGGGGATGATATTGATAAAGAGGATCGGATATTATATGTGTAAGACAATGAAAATGAAAAATAATAAAATGTTATGTTGCATCTTAGCAATGAAAACAAGTGTAAAAAGAGGACGCTACCAATACACATTACAAAAACACAAGCTGTCGCTAAAGTGTATATTAACTTAACTTAGAGCTTTGGAGTCGTGGAAAATTTACCATAGACTACCCGACACCAGATTGAGAAAATTTTAGACTCGACTCCCGGATGTAAAAAAAATTAGACTCCAAGAAAATCAAATTTCGTTAGGAAAAACTGTGGCGCAGGCAGCCCCTCATCTATAGGCTGTTAAAAGCGATTAGTAAACGTAATGCTTTATTAGTTTTTGTGAAAAATTCTAACTCCTTTTATCGCAATTAAAGTCTGATATCCTGACTACGAAGTCAGAATTTCGACTCTCAACTCCGGAATGTTAAAATTTACGACTCCGAAATACATGTCAAACACGAACTCTCATTTCACAGCCCTGACTGCAAATATAAGTCAATAATAAGTATGTTTATATTCCATTGGTTTGGTATTCTATAATTTTATCTGCAACTGGATTGTGTTTTCAAATTTTACAAGTGATTCAGGAATATTTCACTTTAGTCTCATGACAGCGTTTTTGCATTATTTGCATATGGATTCACCAGCATAAATACATAGATGAAGCAAAGTGCCTCAGGAACTCATCAAACATATAAATCTTACCTATACGGTCAATTTCGAATCTCATTTAAACTACGTAACTTTATAGGAGGAATCCTTGTTCAATCAATGGATGACAAATTTAGAAAATTCATAATGCATCAGTTCGAATCAACCTCCATATGTGTCGGGGTCGAGTGTCGGAATTGCAGACCATCAAGGGTGATAAAGTAGATCAAAACTTGGAACCATAACGCAAACAGCTTTAATTTTACTAAGGGTCCTAAGCAGTCTTAGAGACAGGAGTCGATTGTGACTTTTCTGCGAGAGGATTACGTATAAAAATTTATGCTAAGATTAACAAGTCTATTCCATCGTTGAATTAAATGACACTTTAAGCTTTTCAAACAACTGAAAATAAGGAAATAAAATAGACACTGATGGAACGAGGTGTCATGTTGTCAAAATAAGTCGTATTCTGTAATTTATCGCTAAACTGCTTCCAAAACCAAGTCCCGTGAAGTTTGTTGTTTTAAATCAACATTGCACGAAGAGGATTTTGGCCTGACCAAACATTTCGAAAAAAAAACACTACAAAAAATCGGTATTGTGGCAAAAGGACTAACATCTGTATCAAGTTACGACGTAATCGCATACATGATTTATACTGGTTTATACCGATAAAACGTTTTTAGCATTGTGGATGGATGGTACATGTTTGTTAAGCATGCTTTTCCTGACGTACATTAGGTACATCAGCAATTATTTTAATAGTTTCACAAAACATCGACTTTGTTTCATGTGGAATAATTTTGGGAACACCAGAATTCTACTCTTGCATCGCTACGGATAAGACTCAACAATCTATACATACATATATGTATGTCATGATACGATTATACGTCATGATATGCTACGTTTGTAAACATTAAAATATGGAATACTATAACTAAAATTTGCCAACTATCGCCGAAGGTTATTTATATAAATGTTTAGTCACAATGACATATTAACTCAGCAAATGAAGACAGTTTAAAAGTGAGGGACAGTGCGACCCTCGAGAGATAAATAAAAGAAACATGATGCGTGAATAATGTTTTTAAAAAAGGGCTTTTACAAATGCAGAAAATTATCCTTCTGTGTGTGTCTGCTAGAACCAAGAATACATAAACAAAAAGCGACTTGGTTTAATAAGAATGTGCAGGTTAACTGTGGTTAGCATTTCTCAAAATTAAATATTGTATAACCGTGCCTCTTAATCCGGGAATGGCTCATAAAAACACGTTCCGGAAAGTTGATTGCAATTGATAAAAACGCCACATTAATCTACCTTATTGTTGGACTTGACAGGTCCCATCTGCGAGCTTCAAATTCGGTTGCGGGCCAATGGATGTCACAAGCTACGACTCACATTGGTTGAGTGGGCCTCTATACTTGTTTGCTAATAGAACGTGCCAATTCATCGTCACGCTAAAATTGCTTGTGAAAAAATAATATGGATACTTTCAAGCGCCAACAAAAACAGGAGCTAAGCATGTACGAAGTGTATACAAAGCATGCCCGCCAAAGAAGTTTCAAACTTGTTTTAGCTTGATTACGGAAATTATTTTTTGACAATCTGGAAGGTATAATATATTGTATCAATATTGGTGTTGTCTAAATAGAATAACATATAATGTAACGGAAATGCGACTTTAGAATCTCGGATACCGAAAACATATAAAAATACATGTGTGTGGAAATAATACTCCAACACTTACAGTAAACAATTTATAAATTTCGCCTGAATTCGCCTATACACCCTGGTATTATAAATACAGTATAAAAAACATATTTGTGCAGTTTAGTCCGGCCGCGATAACATTATTTTGATCATTGCTCAAGTTTAGACGAGTGAAAAATCTCACCAAAAAGAATACTCCCAAGACTACTTTTTGACGAAAAGATCGTTGCGCCTTTTTATTTTCACTCACAAGCATTGTGACGTAATATTGACACCGAACCAGAAAAACAGAAAAAAACATGATATTTATGGATGTATATATCACCACAAATGGTATTAGCAAATCCATAAACAAAATGGCGATTAGAAAGAAAACTAAATGAAGGACCAACGACAAGAAAAGTTACATGCTCAGGAAATATCGACAACGGAAGTGCATACGTTTGGCAAATATATCGCAATCACTCCAGAAATTGTGGAGAGTGAATAATATTGGATCAATGCATAATTGCACTCTTGGGCCAGATAAAACACCTGCAAGGGAGCAAAATTCACAAGTTCTAGTAAAAGAGAGCTTTTCCGTTTGCTAAACATCATCGCACCTATTCATGAGCTCTTCAGAATAGACTTTTGAAATTAATAATCATGCAGTGCAGCGTTGTAGCGTGTCTTCGTGCGGCGTGTATCCGTTGCTATTTTACTTCGGAAATTGAAATGGTGACGTTACAACAATTT